GATAGAAATAGCAGCATAACGGTTGTTGGATTTGCAGACGCCAGCGAGAAGGCTTACGGGGGCGTTGTATATTTCCATGTCCAGAATAATGGTAGAAATTCGATTAGCCTCATTAGTTCTAAGTCGAGAGTCTCCCCCCCGTAAGGTTGTCTCTCTGGCGCGCTTAGAGCTTTGCGCAATATTAGTACTCACCAAGCTTATTACCACAGTTATCGGCGCATGTAGGGATAGAGTTCACATAGAAAGAATATTTGCCTTTTCCGACTCCACCGTCGCCTTATGTTGGGTTCATTCTTCACCCCACCGTTGGGATACGTTTGTCGCGAACCGAGTGGCCAAGATCCAAGACGAGTTAGAAACGCGGAACTTTTATCACGTGTCCGGTAAGGAAAACCCTGCCGATTGTCTATCCCGGGGACTCACCCCGATGCAAATAATGGACCACCCGCTTTGGTTCCATGGACCTTCTTGGGTTCACTTGGATCCCTCACAATGGCCAATAACCGATTTCGAACCTTCGTCAGTGTCACAACCGCCGGAAGAGAAGAGACACGCTCTAGTGGCGAACGTTTCGAGCGAGGTTTCTCCAATCATTGCTCTGGCGAACCGCTTGTCCTCTTGGTCGAAATTATTGCGTAGCGTAATTTACGTTTGTCGATTCGCGAAGCTTTTACCGCGACGTCCGTATGTCTTAGCATCCGATTACAACTATGCCGAGTCGCTAGTATTACGTGAACTTCAACGTGCGCACTTCTCTGAAGAAATTACAAGATTACAATCGAATAGAGCTTGTAGTCGCGCCTTTCAACGCCTTAAGCCATTTTTACAGGATGGGATTGTTAGGGTAAAGGTGGACGCTTGTCCAACTCGCAATTGAGTTTCGACCAACGGCACCCTATAGTTTTACCGCGTAAAGACCATATCATGAACTTATTAGTCGATTATCATCATAAATTGAACTCGCACGCTGGCCCCGATTTATTGATGTCGATCTTGCGTCAGAATTATTGGATTCTTTCTGCACGTAGTTTAATACGCAATCGGGTGCACAGATGTATAGCTTGCTTTCGGGCACGCCCCAAGCCGTCATTTCCGGAAATGGCGGAACTTAGATCTTGTAGAGTGATACAATCGGTAAAGCCCTTCACGCACACCGGGTCTGATTTTGCTGGTCCGTTTAAGGTCACGCTCACTCGCGGGCGTGGTATAAGATCCACAAAGGCTTACGTCTGCATTTTCGTATGTTTAACTACTCGAGCAGTGCATATAGAACTCGTTGGTGATCTAAGCACAGCAGGCTTTATGGGTGCATTTAAAGGATTTCTATCGCGCAGAGGCCCTGTAAGTAAATTATATTCGGATAACGGTACGAACTACGTCGGTGCAAAACGTATTCTATCGGAACTACACGAGCTCTTAGCTAGCAAGTATTATAATTCGGAGTTCGCTCACATTCTAGCCGAGAACCGCATTGAGTGGTCTCTGAACGTCCCAGCCGCGAGTCATTTTGGGGGCAATTGGGAGACTAATATTAAAAGTCTAAAGAGCCACTTATACCGAGTAATAAGAGATCAAATTTTGTCCTTCGAAGAGCTAAGTACGGTGCTCGCTCAAATTGAATGCGTAATGAATAGCCGCCCACTTTGTCGGACGTTATCTAGTGACCCCTCGGAACCGCTGGCTCTAACTCCAGCACATTTTTTGACTTTAACGCCTCTAAGGTATCTGCCCGCCGCGGATATGGATGAGAACAGACTTAACATTTCCACACGCCACAAATTATTAGATCGGTTAGTGCAATCGTTTTGGAAACGATGGAGGATGGAATACTTGCATACTTTGCAGTCTCGGCAAAAATGGAACACAGCGACAGAGCCTGTAGCTGTAGGAACCGTAGTTGTGCTCACTAAGGAGAATACGCCGCCTCTCCACTGGCCGTTAGGAATCGTCGAGGAGGTCTTTCCCGGTTCCGACGGAGTAATTAGGATAGCTCGCGTTAAGACCACGGTTGGGTCTTACCTACGTCCTGTTATCCGTTTGTGCCCCTTGCCTCTTCCATAATTTAAATTAGCTTTCTAGACTGAAATTGTAGTTTAATTTAGGTAATCTTAGCGTTAGTTAGTTATTTGTTAGTCGATCTTAGCTCTAGTTGTTTAGTTATTTTTTTTGAAGGAAATCCTTCAAGGGCGGGGGGAGATGGTTGCGCGGAAAACCATTCGCGTTTTTTATTTTTGACGGTAGGAACTTGTAGAATCATTATTTCCTTTCCAAACAATATCATTCGTACCCTCCTATCGACACATCGGGGTGGTGGGGTGGGAGGGGAAAGAAGACGATTCTAGAACATCGCGTAATCACCCGAGCCGAGGATACCTATATAAGACACGCGCGACCGATGCGCGAGCCTCTTCTCCCGCCGCAGTCGTCGTTGAACTACAACCTCCTCTTCCCGCGCGCTCGTTTGGAAATACCTCACTAGTGGAAACCGCTTTGGCCTGGAAGCAGTCGAGCTCCAGGAACCCGCCTCACCTCGTGTGAGATATCGTCGCGCACCGCCTCTCTCCGGAGTGTTCCAGAAGTCGCTATAGTGATCGACAGGAAGAAGAAACCCCGGTGAGTCAATATTATATTGTTTTTTTCCTAGTCAAGCAGGATTCCTTTCATCGATTCGACAAGTAATAGTTTAGTTTAGGGAAGAGCGAGTGCATTGTACCGCATGCTATAGTAGTCGCCTTATGTAAGCGTAGAAGCAATCGCATATACAGTCCACTTTAGTTAATATCTCGCGTAATAGGTTTGAGGTTTGACCGGGGAACTAGATTTTCGGCAGCCTTAAACACGTGGCTCCACCACACGTCGTTTGTACGTGGTAGAACCATGCAGTTATATTAGAAGTATAGTTGTAGCACGAATGGGTCGGCTCGACAGGGGAAGGACCACGCTCTCACAGAATACCAGCGCGAAATAGTAGCTTAATGATGCTGTGTTTCGTATAGTGAGTGTAGAGAAGCAGAGACCCTTTTTAAAGGAAACGAGGCATTTCATCTTAGTCCTCACGGGTGACAACGCATCTGCATTTTGATTCGTAATCGAGGATAGATGTAGATGTCTATGGGCCACAGCAACCACTTACCATCAGGTGGACTGTGTGCTCGTTTGTCACCCTATCCTATAAAAAAACGTCGATTTCTTATAATTTAATCGTGCAAGTTTTCGAATCATCATCATCGTTACAGCTCTTCACAAGTCCACTACTGAACATCTTCCTCCACACTGCAAGCATGGTCCCGAGCCACTTTCCTTGTCATGATTTTTTCATTTATGTTCTAAGTTATAATTAGTACCTATTATTAAGTCAGTGTTAATTATATTTATTGCTATTGTTTTTGTCTTTCTCAAAAAATAATTAAATTACCAAATAAATTATAAGGTGTTTTTTATATACATCAAATGTCTGATAGAAATGCAAGTACATATTTTGCTAAACTTTAAAATCAAAACCCAATTTTAAAACATAGACTAATCGATTATAACTCCTTTAACTTTAAAATAAGTTAAGTTCTAATTAATGGTATTTATTCCAGTTTATGATGCATGTAAAGAATAAATAAAGCTAATCGTATATCTATTTACAGCCCCATTAATATCCACTTTTCTTATATAATTATTTTATAAAAACGTTACTTCCACACTTGGATATTCTCCTGTATCGCGGAGGCAGCTTACAAACATAAATTGCACAAGGACACACATCCAGACCCGAAACAATTATTTGTAGGACATACAAATACTTGTTCCGTGCGGGATTCAAACCCGCGGCACCCGGCGCTGCCACTCATTGCTTAGACACTGCGCCACGGAGCCGACGTCTAAAATAAAATAAATTCGTCCGCACATTGGTCTGAACCGAAGCAAACTGAACGACCTTCCAACGTGTGGAATGTGGATGCCGTCACAAACTTTACTACATAATACAAAAAAATGAATTTAACAAACAAACCCTATGTGAAATGGGAATGAGTGTGTAAAACTGTAAGTTCTATTACTGCTCCTTTGAATATCCTGGTTCTTGGATCAAAAATATCCAAGTCGGAGTCTTTCATGGATATGTCGTTGTAAAGTCGACACATTTTTATTATCAACTTGTAAAAAGAGATATTATTCTTATAAGTCTGCAGATAAAATGTCTTGCTAGGAATTCGGAAATTGCGCTTTGTAATTAAGTTTAATTTACTTAAGAGGTAATCGGAATCGATCGCATTATGGAGAATTTTATGTAAGTACTTAAGGTCAAATTCCTTACGGCGAATAAGTAAGAGTTCACTTTAAATTTGTCGAGTCTCTCACTATAACTGACAAGACTGCAAGCAAGAACACATTTGTAGTTAAGTATTCTAAGGGTTCTTTTTTGGACGCTTTCTATACTATGTATCTGAATGAACCGTGTAGCAGGGAGACCAAATGGCACAAGCATAATCGAGAATGCTACGCACAAGGCTATTATAAACGGTCAGGCAGCTTTGAGGCTTTTTGAAGCCCTTAGTGCATCTCGTTATGAAACCTAGTAACTGAAATGATTTGTTTTTAATGTGAGCATAGTTCTCACGTTGTAATTCAATAAAATGACTAAAATAATTTTTAATTGTACCTACCATTGAGTTATATATACTACGTACTAGAGAAGCTATTCCAAACAAAAAATGTGCACTACTCTGTATCCGCGCATGCGCAGTTGATATAAACGCGCGAAAATTATCATAATAAATAATTATTGTTTATTTAGATTGTATTGTTAATCGAGTACATTTTTTTTAATTTTCGTTTATTTCGCATATGTGCTAATTTAATATAAAATTATTATTAGCGTCCCTCCGCACTGCATGAATATCGAGCTACAATAACAAGTGTACGGATTGCAGTACAGTTCAGTTGAACATAGTGAGTGTTCGGAATGCCATATCTAGTGCGTAGTACATATATATCGATGTATTGTACAGTACCTTTCCAGTCTTGGTTAACCGAAGGGCCCGGTTTCCACGATTGTGCGACGGAGCCCTGAGGTGTGACGCCAGTCTGTTCCGCTGGTGTGAACGGCCTTTTGTTGTAGGAAGCCTCCTGGTAACACAAAGGATACAATAGAAAATAAACTTATTCGATATAGGAACATGTTAAAATAAACATTACTAGTTTTATCCTGCGGCTTTGTTTGCTTTTTATCTGTAGTATAAGGGTGGCAAAGAAGCACATAGTCCATCTGATGGTAACTGAATGCTGTGGCCTTTAGATATCTATGCCTAGGATACACATAGATATCTAAAGGCCACAGCATTAATTAAAAATTAAAATGCAGGTGAGTTGCCACATTTGAGGCCAAACACGAAATACCTCGATTCGTGTTAAAAATGATCTCTGATTCTCTACACTTACCATATGAAACTCAGCAGCATTAAGCTGCTATTTCATGCTGGTATTCTGTGAGAGCGTCATCTTCGGTCTAGCCAACCCATTCGTGATATAACCATAATATAGCTACAGTGACATGCGGTCTTACAGTCCACCTGATGGTAAGTGGCTTCTGCTGACAATAGACACCTGCAGCTTACTTCAAACAAAGAAGTCTACAGCTGAGTTATCACCTCTGACCACTTGGTAGACATGTGTCAATAGTGAATGATTCATTCATTTCACCCGGGTCGCATCGAAGTATTGATGATTGCAATTACATTGTTTGAATTTTCCGGATCAAACGATTGACAAAACCTACGACCAAACAATGTAGTAATATTCGACGATCGATGTTATGGAGCGAGTCCCATGAATCACAGAGTACTAAACTCGAAATGATCCATTTGAATTCGACCCGAATGACCCGGTTCGTAAGTTGAATCAATACTTGAATGATCGGGTCACTAGAAATGAATGAATGACATATCAGAGTCAGGAAGATGGCGGTGTCTCACCCCCGTGCCTCGGAAAGCGCGTAAAGCCGTTGGTCCTGCGCCTGATCTCTCTCCGGTCGTGTCGGTTTACCGTCCCATCAGATTATGAGAGTGAGGGAATAGAGAGTGCACCTGTGCTTGTGCATACACTTGGGCACTATAATCCTGTCCTGCGCCGATGGCTAGCCTCCGTTGAGGCAGGCCACCGTGGCCGAAATTCGGTCTGGAGGACATTATATATATATATATATATATATATACCTTTCGTATACATACACACCATAATTATACAACTCACATAACATGAAATCATTCTTATCATGAAACTGTATCTTGTTACAAAAGTTGTTCACGAAGTAATTTCTTGAACGAGCACTTGCTTGGAGTTTTTCATATGTTCTGTTTAGTATGTTCTGTTTAGTATGTTCTGTTTAGTATGTTTCGTATGCATGTATGTTCTTTCATGTGTTCTGACTCCGCTTAGCTGAATCTCAAAGCTGGTAAACCGGTTGAAAAGGTGCCGCAAAAGCAACCTGTTGAATATCTGATGCATTTAACATAAAAATAGACGGCTCTATAGAGCAGTGGTTATGAGTTTAGTTAACGCGCTGCCGCGGGTTCGGATCCCGCACAGAATAAAATAGCCTGCAATAATTATTATTGTCCTGTACGTGTGTCATTATGCAATAAGTGTATGTAAACCACCTCCACAATACGGGAGAAAGTGCATTGTTTCAACATTTAAAATTAACATCTTTAAAAAAAAAGAAAAAAATATGTATATATGACGAAAACTCAAGCATTGTTACAAAGCTCCGTATTTGCGTGGAGTGCAGCGTCAGAAGTCTTTACGTCTGGCACTGCAGTCGTCACTGATCAGTTTTATAGAATAAATGTGATAAACGAGCGCACAGTCCACCTGATGTTAAGGGGATGCTGTGATTCAAGACAGATCCTCGATAAGGAACCAAACTGGAGGTACATTGTTATTTATGAGTGTTAAGATGGAATGCCTTGTAACCAGTAAAAGAGGTTACCGGTTTTCCATAATTAAGGTTGACTCACACTAGACCGAGTCGGTTCCGAGTCGAGTGTCGGCCGTAGCACGATCACCGAGCAATCACCGTTACGCCATAATGCTATATACTCGTCCGAACAAAAAAAAGTGTTGTAGCTAGACCACAATCATGTTGAAGTTTGACGATCTGGAATTAGCGGCTATTGCGATCGCTCTGGACGATGAAGAATCTTATAAATCTTCAGCTACAAGCCGGGAACGAGTTGTTGCCGGGCGTTGTCCGTTACTCGGCCGTCACTCGGTTGCCGCTCGGTATAGCGTGAGTGTGTACATACAGAATATATGTAATATTAGTTGACCATGCTACGGCCGGCACTCGGCTCTGACCCGACACGGTTTAGCGTGAGTTATCCCTTATGTGTGTATTTTTATATGTTTCCATACAAAACACAGCAGTATAATAAGGTCGAGGAAAAAGTTTCTTCGTATTTTGTTAGTACCTATAAAATTGAAGAAAAATCTCTGTCATTCTACTGTGTGTATCTGGCTGGTTTTAATGTTAATTCGTATAGAACTAATGTCATATAATGTAATTTAAAAAGAAAACTTAAAATGAAAAGACATTTTCCCGCCATTTTCAATTGTTTTCCTGACCGCTAAAATGAGTGAATCTAACATTATTACTTCAATGGAATCTAACGAAGAAATTCATTCTGAAGTTTTATTAAAGAAAGGGAAAAAAATCGACTCAAGCTGCGAGTAAAGTTTGTGACATTTGTGTTGTTAATACTGTGTCAGTAAGATTACCACAAAATTGGTTCAAACGTTTTAAGTCCGAGAATTTTGATGTCTAAAATTCTAAGATGCAGCTCGCTCTGGTCGCCTTCACACGGATAAAGTCGATGCAATTGTTTAAAAATGGAGCAAAATTGGCATATTAGCAGTTACGACATAGTCGAGGAATTGAAGAATGACAACAAAATCGTTTTGAGCTATTTGAAAAAGTTTGGCTAAGGTACATGAGGGTACCTAATATGGCCACCTAAAGCTTTGCCGCCCTATAAAAACTAAACTAGGAAGAGGATAAATACGAAAACACAAAGTCCTATACTATAGTTAGATACTAATAAGATACTAACAATATAATAATAAAAAACGCCATATTAAAATCGACTAAAATATTTACTTTAATATTAACTTTCAAAATGGCGCCGATAAAGCAGCGCCCTTTTGACTCTTTATTATTTGAATGACTGATGAAGAGCTATCGTATAATATAGCCTTCTATGCAAAAACGGTTGTAGTTTTTGAGTTAAAAGAAAGTGACCATATTAACAGAATGACCATAATTACCCTGACGTACTATACACACAAAAAGCATTCGGTGTTTACTTATTACTGAGTGTGCACTTAGTTTATATTACTGACTTAGAATTAAGCATATGTATTAGTGTAACATTTGTTAGTGAACCAAATAAATAAAAAACGCTCGATATAGAGATAGCCGAGGAATTGACCATTGACCTTAAAATAGTTTTGACCGCTTTGAAAAAGTCTGTCTATACAAAAAAGCTTCTTCTCTTCTTTTTTGGAGATGTTTCTACTAGGCAGGTTGATGTCGGAAAAAGGACTGATATTTTTTACTTTACTTTACACTTTTACTTTACACTCTAGTGTGGAAAGTCAGAATGTGTCAAAAAACGGTGGTGTGTCCTTACTTTAACGTATGGTATAATGATTTCTTATATTTACGCGAACACTCCAATGGTTTGGGCACGTTGAACGAATGAGTGAAGACCGAATGGTGAAGAAAATATATAGAGCGAAAGTAAATATTAAAAGGTGTCGAGGTAGACCGAGACTAACTTTCGAAGACCATGTGAGCAAATTGCTCGAAGAGGGGAGAGTCAAGAGTACTCGGATACCTAGACGTGCATGTATGAAGAAGTTAATGAACCTGAAAGAAGCGAAAGAGGTATGTAAGGATCGTGACACTTGACGATCTGTTTTCTCTGGCTACCCCGTTAGGGATAGTGCGTGAAGATAAGTAAGTAAGTAAGTAAGTAAGTACGTGAACACTACACATTGATTAAAACTACTTTTACGGATTTTATCGCGTTTATTTTTACTTTTAATTACTTTTTTTTAATTCCCGACGTTTCGGATGCTGAAAAGCGGGAATTAAAAATTAAAGTAATTAAAAGTAAAAATAAACGCGATAAAATCCGTAAAAGTAGATTTAATTAACGTATTGTAGTGAAAGTTGGGTGTGGCAGTAGAAGCACGAGAGTAGAATGAACGCAGTAGTAATGCGGTCGCTAAGGAGTATGTTAGGGCTGAATCTAAGTGACAGGGTGAGAAATTGTGTGATTAGAGAAGATTGTGGTTTGCAAGATGATGTTGTGACCAGGATTAAGAAAGGAATGCTTCGGTGGTTTGGTCATGTGGAAAGAATGAATGAGGTAAAAGTGACAAAGCAAATTTGTGTTGCAGAAGTGAACGGCAGAGTCGGAAAGGGACGTCCTAGTCATAAGTTTGTCCACCAAATTGGCGATACATTCAAAATGGGCCAAATTAAGAGCACCCTTAACCGACGAGCATGTATGCGTAGTTATATGAATATGGAGGAGGCGAGAGAGGTGTGTCAGGATCGTGCCAAATGGAACTCTGTAATCTCTGCCTCCCCCTCTGGGTGACTGGCGTCAGTGTTTATGTATGTTATTTATATTGTACTACATTGATGTAATAGTTCGATTTGCTATATTGTGGTTTACTTTAGGGTTATCCATTTAATTATGCATGTATTGTATTTGCTTATAGTCAAAGCCAGTAAAATACATTTAAAGGTTAGATAATAGGTTTAATAGATGTCGCTGTGTTAACAATAATGTGTGTTGCAAAAATTGACACTTACAAGGAAATAATACAGAAGTTTTTGCAGACTTCTTCGATTTACTAAAGGGGATTGAAAAATATCTATCAGTCTTGTGAGTTCTGATATACATATCTGTCACTTTAGCATTTATGTGAATTATTTGAATTATACGAAAAAAACTACTACACTACTACTATCTTAGACATGGAATGAAAAGAAGAAAGTTGTATATAAAAAAGCTTGTGGAATATATAAATATTTATTGTAACATTTAGCTTAGAGTATACTTTATTTGTTAAAAAATGGCAACCCTAGTCGGAGAATTTGGTGTGCATGATAAACACAGTGTCATATTAAAGTTTCAATTTTCGAGTTAAGGGTTAAATCTTAGTTGAGAAGTGGCCGTTGCCGGGTTGTATTTTATACCTATATTTTTTTTAATTATACACAAATAATTTACCAATGAAAGTGACTCAATCGTGTAGCGGAAGATGTCTGACGAAAACAGGACGAATTTGCTCATACTAGTTGAATTACCTGAGTAATTGGCGGATAATTAAATTCGCCACACTCGAACGATCGCCATCTTGCAACGTTTTACAGCTCGTCAGTTCGCGCCAATATTGTCTCAACAATTTCGTGAATGTGATAGCGATATTTTGTATATATATATATATCAGTCACCTACATATTTTCTGGCATCAGTGTTCCATGTTAATTCTGTGACATGACGCTGTGAATATAATGGTGTTCCATTACCTGTATCATTTTCTAAAGATGTTTTCACTTCAGAAAGTAAAGTAAAATAAAGTTACAGTCTATATACGTCCCACTGCTGGGCACAGGCCTTCTCTCATTTCTGAGAGGGTTTGGGCAAGGAAGTGTCCGCCGCGCTGCCCCAATGCGTGTTGGCTAACTTCACACGTCTTCGAAATATTTTTTTCTTATTCCTCAGACATGCAGGTTTCCTCACGGTGTTTTCCTTCACCGCCGAGCACGTGGTAAATCAGCACTTAAAATTGCAATTAACAATTTCATTGGTGCCGGCGGGGATCGAACCCGGGTTACTCGCGTTCTGTTATATTTACAGCGAGCGTTAACCATCTGAGCTACCACGACTCTTTTCACTTTAGAAAAAAAGAAAAAATGTAAATCAAAAAATTCGTCCTTGATTACCTACCTGCAGTAGAACTAGAGTGACCGACATAGCTCAACGGATTAGTAAGCTGAAGTGGCAATAGGCCTGCCATATAGCTCGAAGAACTGATAACCGATGGGGAAAAAAGTTTCTGGAGTGGCAGCCTCTTACCGGTAGGCGAAATGTAGGGCGACCCCCCACTAGATGGAGTGACGACCTGGTAAGACATCCAGGAATGCAGGTGGCTCAGGACCGTGCTTTGTGGCATAACTTGGGGAGGCCTATGTTCAGCTGTGGACTTGTGAATGGCTGTAACGATGATGATGATTACCTGATTGAACGTCTGCGGGGCGTAGTAATTGCCTTGCTGAGCTCTTGATGCCGCTACCAACAGCACGCAACTGTAGTAAATTAACTGAAAGAAAAACACTTTGATTAGTACTTATACTTATTACTAGTACCAGTACTTACTACTAGTGCTACATTTTTCAATTGGTAAAGACTTGCAAGTATGGGTGCAACACAAATGGGTCGGCTCAACCGCGGAATAACTCGCTCGCACGGAATGCCAGCGTGAAATACCAACTTAATGCCGTTGCGTTTGTTAAGGTGAGTGTAGAGAACCGGGGATCCTTTTTACTGGAATCGAGGCGTTCCATATTTGCCCTTAGGGTGACAATGCATCTGCATTATGATTCTTAATCGGGGGCTACGGGCTACAATATTCACTTACCATCAGGTACACTGTGTGCGCGTTTGTCATCCCAATTCTATAAAAAATATGTCAACGTTATGTCACGTGACTATTTTTAATAGAATAAGTACGAAAAACTGAACTAGTCCACCTGATAGTAAGTGGCATAATCCTCGAGGGAGACAACGCATCTACATTTTTATTCTTAATCGAGGATAGATGTAGATAATATGTCTATGGACCATAGTACCCACTTGCCATCAGGTGGAGTGTGGAAAAAAGGCTCTCCGGATCTCTACACCGTACGAAACACAGCACTATTAAGCTGCTATTTTACGCTGGTATTCTGTGAGAGCGTGGTCCTGCCCCGGTCGAGCTGACTCATTCGTGCTACAACCATAATATAGCTGCAGAGTGGCTCTATCACGTATATATATTTTTCTCATATATATTCTAACTATATTTCTACCCTGAAATCGATTTGGATAGTTAGCAACCCCTTAACTACTTTTGCCACCAGTGAGGGGGTGTTGCTTATTTGCAGTAAGCTCAAGGATTTATTTACATTGTATTATGATATGAATAATCATTTTTTTTTTAATTTTTGTCTGTACGGGCTTACCTTTTTAATAACTAGACTGATTGTCATGAAACTCCTCGAACAGATAGACATTACAGCATACCAGCGTAAAATAGCAGCTTAATGCTGCTGTGTTTCGTAGGGTGGGTAAAGAATCGGAGATCCTTATCACTAGAAACGAGGCATTCCATCTTAGTCCAGTGGCGATAATACATTTGTATTTAGATTCTTAATCGAGGATAGGTGTAGATATCTAGGGACCACAGCACCTAATTACTTTCAGGTGAACTATGTGCTCGTTGGTAACCTATTTTGACGAGACGACTGGCCTGTACCACTTTAAAATTATTACCTGGGTCGTACTACATTAAAATGGTTATAAGCCTAATAAATATAAGAAATAATTAGAAAGTGATTTATGATCCAGTAACAGGATAAATATTATTGTTTAACTGTCTGTATATATATTGTTTAAAAAAATATAAACGTAAGGTCCGGTTTACATTTTGAGGAGTGACAAGTGCGGGTAGCATGTGCAACCGACAAATGACAAGTGCGTTTGAAGAGCCAGTGACAAGTGATAAGTGTGAATAAAATTCGCACTAAGCACTTGAAATTTGTCAGTTGCACTTGTTTCTCGCACTTGTCACTTCTCAAGTCTCAAAGTGTAAACGGGGCCTAAGTTAGCCGGTTCCAACTAGGTGCAGGCGATCACGGTTGGTTACACTTAATGTATTCTTATTAAAAAATCATTCCAATAATTAAAAAGAAATAAAAACAACTGACTGCGTAGAAAATGTACTAGTAGGAAAAGGAAACGAGAGGAAGGAAACTTTTAATGTCATACCGTGGGCTAGATTTCAGCTTCCAGATTTCAGTCGAATCTAACAATACCTAATATATAATCCATCAAAAGACGACAAAGCGTGTCTAATAAACATACATAAGTACATGGATATAGATGTATATATAGATATAATTTTTTTATATAGAAGAGGGAGCAAACGAGCATGCGGCTCACCTGATGTTAAGTGACTACCGCCGCCCATGATCAACCGCAACACCAGGGGAATTGCAGGTGCGTTGCCGGGCCTTTAGAAAGAAGTAAGCTCTTTTCTTGAAGGTCCCCAGGTCGTATCGTTCCGGATAAATCGCAGGTGGTAAATTATTCCACAGAGAGGTCGTACGCGGAAGAAAACTCCTTGTGAAACGTACAGTGGTGGACCGCCAAGCATCCAGATGGTGTGGATGGTATCGGGACGTTTGCCGCGTAGTGCGTTCACGAAATATGTATGTACTCAAAAAGCCATCACCTTCATTCCACCTTCTGGGCTAGGTGGTTGGTTTCAACCAAATCAAGGTACACCAATGAGCCTCTTAGCACGTCTCTGCGCTAAGTCCAACGCTGCCAGGTGGCATTTTGCAGCAGCAGCCCATATGTGACAGCGGTACACCATGCAGGATCGGACTTAAGCTTTATATAAGGTAAGAAGCTGTCCCGGCGTAAAGTACCACCGCACCCTTGCAAGAAAACCAATTTTTTTGCGGCTACGGCTCTGAACTCAATGAACCGCCCATAATTGAGGTTCGGAGAAAATTGAACCCCTAAACAACTGGAAGCGGTCAGTGTACTCCAAGGATACATTCCGAAAAGTAGGAGCCAGGGTGAGTGGATAGGCCAGTCACCCTGGCTCCTACTTTACGTCCCACAACTGAGCACCGGTCTTTTCTCACTTCTGAAAGCGTTTTTTGGGCAAGGAAATGTCGGCCGCGTTGCGTTGCATGCGGGTTTCCTCACGATGTTTTCCTTCACCGCCGAGCACGTGATAAATTAGAACTTAAAATTGCAATTAACAATCTCATTAGTGCCGGCGGGGATCGGACCCGGGTTGCTAACATAGTGTGAATTTACAGCGAACGCAAGACAAAATTAAGTGTCGCCTATTGCATTTCACTAAAAGTAATTCTTCATAGCCCAAGTAATAATTAAAATAAGAGTAGCTTTTGAGAACTTTGACAAAAATACGAAAAGCACTTTCAAAAAACATCAACAGTAAAGTTAAGGTGCTTATGAGGGGCCTTGGCCCTCGTGCCACACCACAGCCACGGATACTATACCAGCTGTGTACAGCATGTAATGCCTTTTTGTCAGAAACATTTGCAGGTACGCACACCAATCTTTATATGTTATGTATATATATGTCTGGCCATAAATACTGTTACATAGAAACTTTTCTTTTTTTAACTTTTTAATTATTTTGAATTTGGAACGCGTTCATTTTTTTTAAAAGTTCTTTCGAATACGCGCCATTTCACATTATTTTTCGTGTTTGGTGGGTAAAGAAAATAGGATTACGGTGATCGCCTTGAACAAAGTGGGTATGGAGCCATCGCGTCGCTCATATTCCAGACACTTCAAAAGCATGGTATCAGCCATATGTTCGTAATATATCGTACTATCAACAGATACACTTCCTCTATCGAAGACCATAAAAAATCGGAGCGGCCGTGTGCTGTTAGAACTACAAAGGCTGTTAATGCTGTTAAAGCCAGAATTCGTCGAAACCCCATTAGGAAGCAAAAAATCTTATCACGAGAAATGAATATTCCTGCTAGGACTCTGTCGCGTTTGTTGATATACAGGACATGCCCTAAATCAATCTTTACAATTAAAGAGAGTGGATCGATTAAAACGCCTTCTGTCGCGATCCTCTTTACCGATGGAAAAAATTTCACGATTGAAGAGCACTAGAATAAGCAAAATGATATATTGTATGCTCATTATTCTAGAGAACCGGTCCAATTGGTCGAAAAGGTGCAACGTGGTCATCATCCTTACGTCAGTGATGGTTTGGTGGTGAGTGTCTTATCAAGGCGTCACGTTTTGTGAAAAATGAGTGAAAACTTCAGCCAAAGTGTTTAAACAGTGCTTCTTCGCATACACTTTTTAAAAATCAACCGTGGACTTTCCAGCTGGCACAAGGCACAAACCACCCAAGGCTGGTTTGAAACCAACGTTACGGACTTTATAAGAGCTGAAGACTGGCCCTAATCTAACAAAATATGGTCAGTTTTAGAGGACATGGCTGCTCTAAACGACACGGCGACGTT